GACTACGACTACGACGACGACGACGACGACGACGACGACGACGACGACGACGACGACGACGACGACTACTACTACTACTACTATTTATCCTCATCCTCATCCTCATCCCCTCCGCCTCGTCTTCCTCCTCCATGCCCACCTCGCTCCCTTTCTCTGCCTCCTGCCTCCCCCCTCGCACCACCACCCCTCCCTCCTCCAGCCTCCTCCTCCTCCTCCCACTGCGCCGCCCCGCCTGCCCAGCACGCCAACCCTAGGGGGCCACATGCGAACCCTACCCCTACCCCCCACGACTTCTGAGGGGGAGGGTGGGGTTCCCTTCGTTCGGGAGCCCGAGGTAGTGAACCAACACCCTCCCCTCAGAAAGTCGTGGGGGGTAGGGGTTGGTTCGCATGTGCCAGAAGCGGCGGAGCGGCAAAAGAGGGGGGTTGTCCAAGTGGGGGGGGTGCACAGCATGACCGGCCGGCATTCGTGCTGCGGCCCAGCGGTCGGGGGCCAGGGACCACGTAATGAATAAGAAGGGGCGCATGACTCTGGGAAAATATCATGGACCCCGCCATGATATCCACCCCCCTAGTCATCACCCCCCTCTTTTCCGCTCCCGACCCCTCCAGCACGCCAACCCCGCCCCCCCCCGGGCCTCCAAGTACGAGTCCACCGTGCCCTGGTGCACGCCCATGATCTGCCGGAACATCTCGTCCTCGCCCCCGGAGGCGGGCCGGGGGATCGCCGGAGGGAGAGAGGGCGGCCTCGAATCGGGGCGCCGACGCCATGCAGGGGAAGAGGCCCCGGCAGAAGCAGGCAGCCGCGCGCCGAGGCGGAGGCGCGCCAGAGGCGAGGCCCCCTCTCTGGAACGCCCTGTCTGGGCGCTGGGTGCTGGTGCAACAACCTTACCATTTGGACGCCCTGTTTGGGCGCTGGGTGCTGGTGCAACAACCTTACCATCCGACGAGGAACGCATGCGCCCCTCTGCGGCCCCAGAGGCTCTCTTGCAGAGGCTCCGGCCCCTTCTCCCAAAGGGCTCTCGGGCCCCGGACGATTCCCTTGATGGCCCTAGGTTTGGACGCCCGAAATGGGTACGGAAAGAATGGGTACGATGCCCAACAACAAATGTTGTCCCAAACCAACAGCGGCCGCTGTTGGGCAGGCGGCCTCCTGCCTCGAATGGACACAGGCCGCGGCGGCGCGGACAGTGAGCCCTGTCCAGAATGAACAGGAACTGCTGTTGGGCATCGTACCCATTCTTTCCGTGCCCATTTCGGGCGTCCAGATGCCATGCGCCCCCCCCCCAAAGGCTCCGCGTGGCCGGCTTCGCCAACCCTCTGGACGTGCCAACGTGGACCCCTCCTTCGGGGTGAAGTCAATGCGCAAAAAAAAAAAGAAGATGCGCGACAAGGATGCAATTGCCTTGGAAGGCCATGTCGACACTTTCCGAGCGTGGCGCGGCCAGCGAAAGGGGCCGTGGGTCCTAAGGAAAGGCTCCAAGGATAACCTTAGAAAAACGCTCGTTCTTACTATCCGTGTTGACTGTACGCCTTCGCTGAGGGGGGGCCTGGGGAGGGCCCTGCGGTAAGGGCGCTCCAAGGCTGCTCAAGGTTCTGGGGGGCACCAGGGGGCCCGCAAGGGTCTCTGGAGGACTGCACTGGGGCCGATACGCCCAAACACCTCGATCCCCAATCTCCCCTCCTCGTCGTCGTCGTCGTCGTCGTCGTCGTCGTCGTCGTCGTCGTCGTCGTCGCCGTCGTCGTCGTCGTCGTCGTCGTCGTCCTCGTCCTCGTCCTCGTCCTCCTCCTCGTCCTCCTCCTCCTCTCGCTACCCCCCCCGCCAGCGTCCCTGCCCCCACTGGCGCCCCCGAGTGGTGCATGCGTGGTCGAACCGATCGAACCGATCGACAGCTCTGCCCTCCCCCCGGAAAGTCGTGGCCCCCAGGCCACCACGTGGCCCGCAGAGGGGCCACTGGGGCACAGCCGACTGCCGCCGCGTTGGGGGCCCTCGCCGAGCTTCGGCCGCTGGAGGGGGCCCGGGCCCCCGAAACGAAGCCGCGGCCAGCATACGAGGCCCGCCGGCAGCCGACTATGCAGTCGGGGCGTTGACCTAAGGAACCCTAAATAAGGAACGAGGCCCCTTCTTTCCATAAGTTAACCTTCGATTTCCTGTCGAAAACCTACGGACAGCCTGAGGCAAGCTGAGAAACACTTAAAGGAACACCGAGCCCCTCCCCAACGACAAGGGTTCCTTCTTCAGGGCCCCGACTGTAAGGGGGCTCCCGCGGAGCGGGGTGCGCCTCTCCTGGGCCGGCGAGCGCGCACGACGGGCGCACGCAGGGGCGGGGGGTGGGGGCCGAACAGTTCCACAGGCCGCCCCCTCTCCCGCTCCCCCCGCTCTCCCCCTCTGATCGTTCGCACCCTTCCTGGGCGGGGGGGAGGAAAGAGGGAAGAGGTGGACCTGCATGGCTGAAGGGGCCCTGGGACGCACAAACAGATAGACACAAAGAACAGGATCCCCCACATGCTCCCCTATGTTCTGGACTTCTGTCTTCCCCAAACTCCCCATCTTTTCCCAGGATCTTCTGGGGAATCGACGATGACTCGTGTCTGCGTGTTCCTTCCCCTCCTGAAAGAGGTGGACCTGCACTGCATACGCCGGGGGGACAGACCTGCGACGGGGCCGCGCCCGGGGCCGACTCTTCGCGCTGCCAGGGCGGCGAGCGCGTGCAAGGTCACGACGCAGTGCAGGCAGGAGGAGGAACGAAGAGCGGCCCCCAGCAGGGGAGGGAGGGGCAGGGGGGGGGGGGGGGGGGGGGAAGGTGGGGGTGGGAGGGGAGGGGAGGAGGGAGGGGAGGGAGGGGAGGAGGGGAGGGGAGGGCGAGGGAGGGGAGGCGAGGGGAGGGAGGGGAGGGGAGGGGAGTGGAGTGGAGGGGAGGGGAGGGAGAGGGAAGGGGAGGGGAGGGAGGGGAGGGAGGGGAGGGGGAGGAGGAAGAGGATGAGAGGGGGGGGAATGGGCGAGGGACTCGCCCTCGCGCGGACGTCCTGCCCCGTGCCTCTTTCGCCTCGTGCGTGTGTGTGGTGGTTGTGTGTGTGTGGGTGTGTGTGTGTGTGTGTGTGGTGTGTGGGTGTGTGTTTTGGGGGTGTGTGTGAGTGTGTGTGGTGTGTGTGTGTGTGTGTGTGGGTGTGTGTGCGTGCGTGTGTGTGTGTGGGTGTGTGTGTGTGGTGTGTGGGTGTGGGTGTGGGTGTGGGTGTGGGTGTGGGTGTGGGTGTGGGTGTGGGTGTGGGTGTGGGTGTGTGTGTGGGTGTGTGTGTGTGGTGTGTGTGTGTGTGTGTGTGTGTGTGTGTGTGTGTGTGTGTGTGTGTGTGTGTGTGTGTGTGTGTGTGTGTGTGTGTGTGTGTGTGTGTGTGTGTGTGTGTGTGTGTGTGTGTGTGTGTGTGTGTGTGTGTGTTTTACTCGAGGGTCCAGGGGCGGTCCTCGACGGCTCTCGCCGAGAGGAAATGCCCAGCACACGTCCGAGCGATGCATGCCAAGGGGAGGGAGGAGAGGGGAGGGGAGGAGGAGAGGAGGAGGAAGGAGGAGGAGGAGGAGGAGGAGGAGGAGGAGGAGGAGGAGGAGGAGGAGGAGGAGGAGGTGGAGGAGGAGGAGGAGGAGGAGGAGGGGGAGGAGGAGGAGGAGGAGGAGGAGGAGGAGGAGGAGGAGGAGGAGGAGGGGAGGAGGAGAGAGAGGAGAGGGAGGGAGGAGGAGGAGGAGAGAGGAAGGGGAGGGGAGGGGAGGAGTGGCCTGGCCCCCCGGGGACAGGCCACGCGCAGGGGCACAAGTGCCCGCTGCCGAACCCGCCAGCCTGGGGACCCCCCTCCTGGCCATCGCTCGGACGTCCACTCCCTGTGCTTTTTTTTTCGGTCTCGTGCGTGGCTTTTCCGCCAAAGGATCAAGGATGCTCCTCGACGGCCCTCGCCGAAAAAAAGTGCACACGCCCGAACGATGCCAGGCCTCTGGCTGGAGGCGGGCCGGCCGCCCCTGTCCCGGGCGCCGGCGCCGGCGTCCCCCCTGGGCGGATGACGGGGGCAGCAACTTCCCAGACCCCCGACGTCATGATTTTCGTCGACCCCCCGACCCAGACCCCCTCGAGTTATGAAAAAATCACGACGGGAGGTTTTTCATGATTTTTGGCCTTTGGGGGCCCTTACCGGCCCTCGGGACCGTCAAAAAACGACTCAGGACGAAAAACCGGTCCCCGGGAATGGGTCGAGACCTCGGGGGGTCGACGTCATGGAAAAATCATGACGTCGGGGGTCTGTGGAGGTCTCGACCCATTCCCCGGGACCGGTAATTCGTCCCGAGTCGCTTTTTGACGGTCCCGAGGGCTGGTCAGGGCCCCCCAGAGGCCAAAAATCGTGAAAAACCTCCCGTCGCGATTTTTTCATACCTCGAGGGGGTCTGGGTCCCCTCTGGGCGGCTGACGGGGGCAGCAAAGAGCCACAGAGGGGGGGGGTTGCTGCGGCGCCGTGGCGAGAACGTGGCTCCCAGGGCCGGGGAGACGCAAGACTTCGGGCTCGGGGGACGCGGGTTGGCCTGACGGGGCCATCGTGAAACTGACGAGACCCCAGCTGGAGTTTCGATCTGAGACTCGGCGCGAGCTCTCGCTGCAGACGTCCCACGAAAAGTGGACCGTCGGAATCCAGAACGCGCTCGCCAAAAGGCGTCGGCAAACCCGACCTTTGGCGCGCTCGAGTCGCACGCTTTCCTGAGAGGTGCTAGCCTGGTCACCTCACCACAATTATGAAGGGGCCCTGGGACACACAAACAAATAGACACAAACAACAGGGTTCCCCATATTTTCTGGATTCTGTCTTCCCCCCACTCCCCCTATTTTCCCACACTTTCTGGGGAATCGACGATTAATTGCATCTGAATGTTATTTCCCCTCCTGGAATTAGCTGAGAAAATTCACTCCCCACCGTGGCGGGAGCCCGCGCCCGAGACGACTCCGTGCTCCGAGCCTCTCTCGCCCCTCACGGGCGCGCTGCCGACCAGGCTCCCCGGAGCTGCCATGGGCTGCTCGCAGCAACTCGCCGTCGCTCGGCCCTCCATCTCTTACCAGCCTGGAACATATCCCTATCCCTATGCTGGGCACCTCCTCATCACGATGCCAATCTCAGGGGTTCCCTTATTTTTTGAGGGCGAATCCCTAAGATTGTCATCGCCTTTTGGTGTGTCAATCTTAGGGATAGGGATACGTTCGAGGCTGGTAAATCTCCCGTGCAACTTTCGGTTTCGCGCCTGTTTTTGTTGGCTCCATGCTCCAGCATGGTCCTCGATGGCTCTCGCCGAGAAAAAAAGTGCACACGTCCGAGCGATGCCAAGGCCAAGGGGGAAGCCGCCGGCAGAGGAAGCGCCGAGCACCCCACTTCGCCGAAGCCGCGAACGCCGCGGGCGGCCCCCCGAGCACACCTGCCAGGCCGGCAGCAGCCTCCTGCGGCCGCAGAAACCAGCAGAAAACCGCCGGCAGCCGCCTGGCACCCTCCCCAGACCCCCTCGAGGTATGAAAAAATCGCGACGGGAGGTTTTTCACAATTTTTGGTCTTTGGGGGCCCTGACCGGCCCTCGGGACCGTCAAAAACGACTCAGGACGAAAAACAGGTCCCGGGGAATGAGTCGAGAACTCGGGGGGTCGACGTCATTAAAAAATCATGACGTCGGGGTCTGGGTCTGAGGCACCTCCGAACACACCGCCGCCGAGACCGCGGCAGGGCGCCGGCAGCCCCCGAGGCACCCTGGAAACCCTGGCCTGGGGCACGGCGAAGCAGCGCGCCCCGCAGGGGCCAGGCACCCGACGAGGAACGCATGCGCCCCTCTGCCGCCCCAGAGGCTCTTGCAGAGGCTCCGGCCCCTTCTCCCAAGGGCTCTCGGCCCCGGACGATTCCCTCGATGGCCCTAGGTTTGGACGCCCGAAATGGGTACGGAAAGAATGGGCACGATGCCCAACAACAAATGTTGTCCCAAACCAACAGCGGCCGCTGTTGGGCGGGCGGCCTCCTGTCTCGAGTGGACACAGGCCGCGGCGGCGCGGACAGCGAGGCCTGTTCAAAATGAACAGGAACTGCTGTTGGGCATCGTACCCATTCTTTCCGTACCCATTTCGGGCGTCCAAGCTGGGGCCCCCGAGGCCGAAACCGACGACCAGCGCCGGGAGCAGCAAACCACACGGCCCTCGTGCTGCCACCAGGGGGCGCCGCCCAGAGAAGGAGCGAGAGGGGGCTCTCCCGGCCGCGGCTCCGGGGCCCCCCCTGGCCTGGATCTGCGGGCCTGCCCGATCACAGAGTCTCGAGGAGGAGGAGGAGGAGGAGGAGGAGGAGGAGGAGGAGGAGGAGGAGGCCCTCTGGAGCCCAAAGTGGCCCGCAGCTCAGAGTCTCGACTGCGCCGTCCGAGGCCAAAGGAGGCAAAGGGAGGCCGGGTGTCGGGCCGGGCGACAGGGGGGGATGGCAAAGGCAAAAGGGGGCTCTGAGAATCAGCTCGCGTATAGCTGATTTTCCCGGCGCCTCCCGGCGTCGGAGGCGGCCATGTATCGAGGCATGGGCCCCTCGATGGGGCCGAAACCAGCTGCACGCAGCAGATTTCGTACCCCCTCCTTTCCCAATCCCCCCCTCTCGTCCGGCCCGAGGAGGAGGAGGAGGAGGAGGAGGAGGAGGGAGAGGAGGAGGAGGAGGAGGAGGGGGAGGAGGAGGCGGAGGAGGAGGAGGAGGGAGGAGGAGGAGGAGGAGGAGGAGGAGGAGGAGGCGGAGGAGGGAGGAGGAGGAGGAGGAAGGAGGAGGAGGAGGAGGAGGAGGAGGAGGAGGAGGAGGAGGAGGAGGAGGAGGGAGGAGGGAGGAGGAGGGGAGGAGGGAGGAGGGAGGAGGGAGGAGGGAGGAGGGAAGGAGGAGGAGGGAGGAGGGAGGAGGGAGGAGGGAGGAGGGAGGAGGGAGGAGGGAGGAGGGAGGAGGAGGAGGAGGAAGGGAGGAGGAGGAGGGAGGAGGAGGAGGGCAGGAGGGAGGAGGGAGGAGGGAGGAGGGAGGAGGAGGAGGAGGAGGGAGGAGGGAGGAGGGGAGGAGGGAGGAGGGAGAGGAGGAGGGAGGAGGGAGGAGGGAGGAGGGAGGAGGGAGGAGGGAGGAGGGAGGAGGGAGGAGGGAGGAGGAGGAGGAGGGAGGAGAGGAGGAGAGGAGGAGGGAGGAGGAGGAGGGAGGAGGAGGAAGGAGGGAGGAGGAGGGAGGGGGAGGAGGGAGTAGGGAGGATGGAGAGGAGGAGGAGGGAGGAGGAGGAGGAGGAGGAGGAGGAGGAGGAGGAGGAGGAGGAGGAGGCGCGGCAATAGGAGGGCGTCCGAGTTACGAACGCACCCTACAAACAAGAAGGGGAAATGAGGCCGGGGGCCTCAGAAAGGTGCGAACAGCCACTTTAAAATGTTCCGGCTACCTCATCCCCGGAAGAACGCATAGGAACAGTTATGACGCCACGGACGAATTCTGACCGTCGGTCACTTCTTGACCGGGCGGGTTGCCGGGGGCGGTCCTCGCCTCCCAGCGCCGCGTCCGCGGCCACGAGCGCGGCCACCCTCGCCAGCACCGCCGCGCCCCACGGCAAGCGGCGGCGGAGGCGGTGGCGGCGCGGCCGACGACGAGGACGACGTCGCCGCCGAGGCAGCAAGCGCACACGCACCAGCACCCGTCCCACCGCCCACCGCCTCCTGCAGAGGAAGGGGGAAACCTAACAAACGCCCGCTCCCTTCAGGAGCAAGCCCATCGTGAGACGAGGCCTTATCTCCAGAGCCGCTGGCTCCCGCATGCGAGCCACGGCCATCCAGGCCCAGAGGATCCCCAGTTCGCGGGTGCAGCCCACGAAGAGTGCGGGAGACCTGGGACCGCTCATTCGCCCTCGTCGAGGCGACTTTGGAGCGGCCCTTGCAGGCATCCAAGAGCTTCGGATTCCTGCCCTGGCCCACAATATAGGCCCCGCACTCGAGACAAATGATGGTGGGCCCGTGACTTTCGGCCTCATGGCCACGGGCCCTGTAAAAGGCGACCTCCTCCTCCACCGCCGAACCATCAAGGGAGGGGGGAAGAGGTTGAGGGTCGATGCCAACCTCGTCGGCCGCTTGCATCGCGAGCGCGACGGCGGCCGACGTAGAGGGGCGGTACACATCAGGAGTGAGGGAGAAAAACCGTTCCGCCGCCCCCTTAGAGATAGCCGTGGGCCGGCACTCCTGCAGCCTTGCAGACTTGAGAGACATGGGAGTGCGGGCAAACATATTGCAGCGCACACAGCGGTGCTCCCCAGTCCTGGCGTTCACATGAAACTCATGCTGGACCAACTGCACAACAGGAGACAGTGGCCGCCGTGGAACTACCACCGAGGTTGGCTCGAGGCACCGATGGCACAGAGCAGCCGACTTCTGGGCCACCACCTGGACCATCCAGGCGAACACCTTAGCGTTGGCTTTCGCCTCCTTCAGCTTACGCTTGTGGTAGTCGACTAAAACTTCCCCCACGGCGTGCTTGGCAGCCCCCCACTTGGCGAACATATCTGCCCAACTGTTGCCCACAAAGTTTAAGAAGCTAGCCTCGGGGTCGGCAACAACATCAGCCAGCTTCTTATGGGCAGGGGTCCATTCAAAAGTGGGGCGGCCAGTGGGGTACAAGGCATGGGCTCTGCGCCAGACACTCGCATGAGCCGAGGAAGCATGTTCATTGTGAGGCCCCCAGTTTTGACCAGCACGCACAAAAGACAAATGATCACTAATGACATGGGCGGGCTTCGCGGCGACCTCCAGTCCCTTAGCCGCAGCATAATACTCGGCTCGAGGTACTGTTTGCACCCGGCCTGGAAGTGGGCCGTACAGGGCTCGGAGGGGGAGACCGCTGTCCGAAATCTCCACAACGGCCCATCCGCAGCGGGTGAGACCAGCCACCCCCGACGCCAGGCCAGACCCGTCCGTGAAGATACGCCTCCCCCACGTACCAGACCAGTCCCCCCAACCACAGATTTCGAGGGACGGCTCGACGTCGGGGGGGAAAGGCGGCAGGGGCGGAAGCCCATAGGAAAGGTAGAAACACTCGACCCCGTCAGCACCATTGGCATTAGCGTGCTGGTCAATAATCTCGGCTCTGCGTTCGAGGATCTCTGGAGGGACGAAACTACTGTCCTGTTCGTCGCACTCCTGCAGCATCCCCGGGCAACCAAACCACTGATGAGCATGCGTGCCAACTGCAACTTTGCACACAAAGCATTTGTCATCGCCACGCTTGTTGATGGCAAAGAGACGCACAGGCGGCCAGCAAGCAGCGGCCCACAAAGCTCGCAGAGCACCGCGCCTCGCAGGATTCGCAATGCTCGAGACAGCCGCACGCATCGCCCGAAGCCAGCCCGATTCGCCAGCACTATCGGCGAAATAAGCAAGGATACGCTGCGACTGCCAGCGCTGCAACCCTTCCTCAAGATGACGCTTGACGTCGGCGGGACAGACGTGCAGCAGATCTATCTGGCAGCCAGTCTCATCAGCCAGCACGGTGGGGGAAAGCATATTCCACCCAATCCGAAGCAAAGTGATGAAAGTCGAAGAAATGGGGCCGCGGGCGCCAGCCCAAGAGACCCGGCTTGAAAATCGTTGCTTGATGCATTCCCAAGCTCGCCGAAGCCTACTGGGGCTGACGCGCTGCTGCCAAATCCAAGCCGCATACCGACAGACCAGTAAGGTCGTCGAATCAAAAATTGGATCGTACCGAAAACTAGGCTGAGTAGCCAAGTAAAGAGTTAGGCAGCACATCGACTTCGCCCCCACGAGCCCCCCCGCCATAGTGCGAAGAGTGCGAAGCGCCGTGTCGGACACGCCTGAAACTCCGGCCCCGTGCCCCGCAGATGGCATAAGGCCAGTGCGCCAGAGGCCAGCCACTCGATCTCCGACCGCGCGGCGGAGACTGAGCAGCTTGAGGAGGAGGAGGAGGAGGAGGAGGAGGAGGAGGAGGAGGAGGAGGAGGAGGAGAAGGAGGAGGAGGAGGAGGAGGAGGAGGAGGAGGAGGAGGGGGGAGGAGCATTCTTGAGTCGCGGCGATCACGGGCGTTCTGGGGAGGGGAGGGGGGGGGGGTGCGAGGCGAAGATGTGTCCACGGCCACCGCCAGGGAGCCGACGTCCCGGCACCCCAGCGGGCGGCGGACACGGATACCTTTGGGCCCCCGGGGGCCCGAATGTGTCCCTATATGCACGGTCTGTCGAGGTCCCCAGAGATCGATCCCCCGGGCAGTGGTTTGGGATACATCCCCGCCCTGGAGGAGGGGGGAGGGCGGGGGGGTCATGATCAACGTAACAACCCCGCCCCCCACCGTGGCAGACTCTGGTGCCGGTCGCAGCGCGGCAGTGCTGGGAACGCGCTGGGGTGGGGGGGAGCGTCACGTGATGGGGAGGGGGCGCGCAGAACGCGCGATGTGGGCCAGAGGGTGAACAACAACCCTCCTGGGAGAGCGCGCGCGAGCGTCCTCTCTCTCGCGGAGCCTCTCCTCCGCCTGCCGCCTGCCGCTCTCCTGGGCCTGGGCGCGCGCGCGCGCGGGCGCCCGCGCCGCGGAGGGGGGCGGGGCCTGCGGCAGGGGGCAGAGGTCCTCCCTCCCTCCGACCGCCTGAGCGTCCCTCCCCCCTCCCTCCCTTGCGCCTCCTCTCTCCCCCCCCCCGTCCCTCCTCCCCTTCGCCCCTCCTCCTGCCCGTCCCTCCCTCCTCCTCCCGATTCCCATCTCCTCCTGCACCTGGTCCTCCAACTGCTGTAGTAGCTCCTCCTCTCCTCCTCCTCCTCCTCCTCCTCCTCTCTCTCCTCCTCCTCCTCCTCCTCCTCCCTCCTCCTCCTCCTCCTCCTCATCCTCCTCCTCTGCAGAGGCGGATCGCGCGGGCCGAGCTCGTCGCGGTGTCAGTGGTCTTGAGGTGATGGGTGCCACCAATTCGCATTCGGGTCCACTGCCAGCTCATCTTGGATGGCGTCCAAGCCGGCAGGCTGTGGCACAGCCGCGCCGCCCGCACGCGGACGCCTGGCGCTTGAGCTGGGCACGGCTGGAAGCCATCGGGTTCGGCCCGGAGGGGTGTCCATCTTCAGGGTCAAGGCGCACCTCTCCAAAGCCAGGATCGCCGACGCGTCCGAGGAAGACCAGCGCGTCCTCCGAGCCAACGGCGAGGCCGACGCCTGGGCCAAGGACGCCGCCAAGGACGGCGTGGACGAGCTGCTGGAGCACCTCGACCAGGCGGCCACAGCAGCAGCCGGCCAGGCCACCGGGGCGCTGGGCAGCATCGCCGGCATGGCAGCGCAGCGGGTGGCATGCAGCGGCGTGTGGGGCGATGCCGTCGCTCCGCCCCAGGCGCGAGCCACGGGGTCGGCCCCCGCCTCCCGCGGCGCCCGCGGAGCAGCCGCACGACGTGGTCGCCATGGGGAGCGGGTTCCAGTGCACCCGCTGCCGACGCTCGGCGGCTTGGGCCAGTACGCCAACGTCCAGGGGCATGGGCTGTGGTGCGCAGGCCCGCGCGCCTGGCGCTGCCGATGCGGTAGCCAATTCGAGCCACTCGCCATCGCTCGGACGTCCATTCCCTGTGCTTTTTTCGGGTTCGTGCGTGGTTTTTTCGCCAGATGTTCAAGGATGCTCCTCGATGGCGATCGCCGAAGGAAACATGCGCACGCCCGAGCGATGCCGAGCCAACGTCCAGGGGCATATAGGCTGTGGTGCGCAGGCCCGCGCGTCTGGCGCTGCCGATGCGGCAGCCGCTCGGGCCAGAGAGTCGGCGGCCGTGCAGACCGGTGCCCAGGGCCCCCAACGCAGCGCGCAACCCCCTCTCTCCCCGCGTACCTGCCGCGGGGTGCGCTCGGGGGTCGCGCGTCGCCTCGCCCCGTGACTTCGCACGATTCGTCCCTCGTCGATGCTACCCCACGGGCGAGGGTAGCGGCGCCACCTCCGGGCGGGCCGACCCTGCGACCCGCCGATGGCCGCCCAGAGGCCCGGCGGCTGCGCTGGCGCGGGCTGCGCGCGGCGGGCCGCAACGACGGCGAGCAGCGGCCCGCGGGCGGCGAGGCCTCCGGGGAAGCCCACCTGACCGTGCACAGCTGAGGGGTAGCATGTGCATGCGCTGCATGTCTCCTCCTCCTCCTCCTCCTCCTCCTCCTCCCTTCTGTTCTGCATTGGAAGGACATTAAGTGCTATGCTTGCGGCGCCCTGTCAGTGCGAGAGGCCTCAACGCATAGCATAAACGCTGACTTAGGCCTCGGCAACCTCCTCTTCCTCCTCCCCCTCCTCCTTCCATAGGCACTGGAGCCAGAATGCCACCAGCCCTCTGGGTGTACGTGGTTTAACGAGTTAGTTCTTCCATCCCCATTCTTCCCTTTTCGGGGATGGAGGTGCCTTCCTCCCCCTGGATCCCGATGGGGGGCGCCTGGAGGTGTCAGAAAGCCCTTTTTAGCCCAAGAGGCTTCAAGAGGGCTCTAGATAGCCCGAGGTGGCCTCCAAGATGGCTCCAGATAGCCCGAGATGGCCCGATGCAACCTCCACTATGCCTCCAAGAGGCTCCAAGGCAGCCCAAAGACGGCTCCAAGTGGCCACGGACCCTCTCAAGGATCCCCCCGAGAGGCCAGACTCCATCCCAAACCTTAGGAACACCAGCGATCGCCCACCAGCTCTCTGGGCGTAGGCGATTTGACGAAGTAGTTCTTCCAACCCCCTTTTCCCACTTCGAGGAGGGGCATCACTGCTCCTTATGAGTAAACATCCTCTCCCCCACTCGACATAATCATTTTTACCTTTTTGAAAAGGACGATGGGGGGACAGCATATCACTACCCCTGTGAAAAGCAACGCAACATGTTATTTACGGCGAGATCTCGAACCATGCGCCTTCACTCTGCATTGCGTTGTATGCGTTTGTTTGGCAGGGATGGTGGGGGTGCCCACATTTTGTCTTGTGCGTGCTGGTCCACCAACCCTGTCAATAACAAATGCAAAATGATTTCCAGTGCACGCACGCACGCACACACACACACACACACACACACACACACCACACACCATGCTGACCACCCCACCGCCATTTCCGCATTGGCTTGGGACAAGGAGGGTGTGGGGTGGTCCACTTGTTTCCCAATGTGTGCGGCTAGGTCTACTGGCGCACAGGCACTGCGACTCGGGTGCTACTTTGCGGTGGGAGGGTGGGTTTGAGTGGGCGGGGCGGCTTGCGGCCGTCCTGCGGGTTAGCTTTGATGACTGCTCCTTGTTAAGATCCGCCACAGTGCCCTGAGGCACGAGCTGGAGGAACCTCAGGTCCTCGCCCTAATCCCTGAAGCCTCGGTCCTCAACCCCGATGATCATGTCAAGGGCCCCGACCCCGAATCAATCTCTTGGCGCTTGCCGCGTGCCCCCGAGGCCAAGGCCCCGTCGCGGCGTCCCGCACGACTTCTCCGGTCCCAAGAGGGCCCCAAGACGGGCCAAGAGCCCTAAGAAGACCCCAAGACGGTCCAAGAGGGCCCCCAATCGCCGAACAATCGGCCCAAGACGGCCCCCAGTCGGCCGAAAGAAGCGCCCAAGGCGTGCCAGGAGGCTTCCAGGAGCCTTCCCAAGGGGGTTCCGAGAGGCCAGCATCATTGATTTCCCTTGGACGTTTCAATGGTTTTGGGGTTCTCAACTTTTCGAGTCTCCGACGCTCCAAGACGTGCCAAGAGGCTCCCAAGACCACCCCAAGACGGCCTCAGAGGCCCCCAAGAGGGATCCAAGATGGCACAAGAGGACCCCAAGAAGGCCCAAGAGGCGCCCAAGACGGCCCCTAAGAGGGGAAACGCGAACCGAGAATCCGAGCCTTCTGCCCCAACAGGCGCGCCAAGGAGGCCCCAAGAGGCCCCCAAAAGGCCACCCGAAGAGACCACCAAACGGCCCCAAGAGGACTCAAAGATACCCAAAAGAGATCCCGAAACAGCCCCCCAGAGGCCTGAAACCTGTTTCCAGGCCCCCGAGAGGCCTCGACGAGATCCCAACGAGGCCTTAGACGCACAACCCAAGCACGGTGGCGGGATGGGCCGAAGGCCATCAAATGCTCACGCACACCCTCCCCCACTCTGCAGGCCAGTAACCAGGGCCGGTGCCACCCCCCACCATCCCTGACTAAAACACAATACAGCATACACGTTGCAGCAGCACACGAAGCATGCGGTGGGGGGGGGCATCCTATTGCCTGGCGTGCGCATGCCCATCGTCCACCGAAAAACAATGCAGATTTCACGTTGTGCGCGGGCGCCCCGGGATCCGCCGGACCCCTTGTGGGGCCACCAGGCTGTAGGCCCGTGATTCGCAGTTTCCTGTACCAGTTGTAGTTTCTAGTTTCCAGTGTTACAGTTCTGCTTCTTGCTGGTTACTGTAACTAGTTGATTGACCGCGCGAGGGAGGGGGAGGCCCAAACAGGATTTTCCAGCGTCCCCTGGGCGCGTTGTCTGAATTGCTGGGGAGGCTCGAAATCAACACCCCTCACGCAGATCCGCGCGGTCAGGGTCCAATAACACAGGGGATTTGCCACATTTCTGAAATTCGGTGCCACCCCTCACGCAGATCCGCGGGGTCAGGGTCCAAAAACACAGGGGATTTGCCACATTTCTGAAATTCGGTGCCACCCCTCACGCAGATCCGCGGGGTCAGGGTCCAAAAACACAGGGATTTGCCACATTTCTGAAATTCGGTGCCACCCCTCACGCAGATCCGCGGGGTCAGGGTCCAAAAACACAGGGGATTTGCCACATTTCTGAAATTCGGTGCCACCCCTCACGCAGATCCGCGGGGTCAGGGTCCAAAAACACAGGGGATTTGCCACATTTCTGAAATTCGGTGCCACCCCTCACGCAGATCCGCGGGGTCAGGGTCCAAAAACACAGTGGATTTGCTACATTTCTGAAATTCGGTGCCACCCCTCACGCAGATCCGCGGGGTCAGGGTCCAAAAACACATGGGATTTGCCACATTTCTGAAATTCGGTGCCACCCCTCACGCAGATCCGCGGGGTCAGGGTCCAAAAACACATGGGATTTGCCACATTTCTGAAATTCGGTGCCACCCCTCACGCAGATCCGCGGGGTCAGGGTCCAAAAACACAGGGGATTTGCCACATTTCTGAAATTCGAACCCATCACGCACATCCATCGCAAGGCGTGGTAACCCAAACTGCGAGAACTCCCTCGGCCCTTTAATCGCAAGGTGTGGTAACCAAGCCCTTAAACCATACACGTCTTACCAATCGCCAGGTGTGGTAACCCCTCTTGTGATCAGTTTGTTTTGCTGATTGCGACTCGGCTTCGCATGAAGTTTCGATACTGCTTCACGACAGCGCCAAGGCCTCATGACTTAGCTCTTCCATGGTCCATTCTCCGAGAGAGGGGGCCGGCGGCAGGGGGCGAAGCCCTTACGGATAAATTTCGCGTTCTTATTTGGCAGGGGTGATAGGGGGGGGTGCGCTGGCACGCGCGGCGCACCTCGCGAGCGTCGCACGCCTGGCTGGCGTCCGCGCTGGCGCCCACGACAAGACGTGTAATGGTCCATGGCGCCCCCTGCCTGCGTCGAGACTCAGGTGCCACTTACGCGGTGGGCGGGTGGGAGTGAGCGAGACGGCCGCCTTTCGAGGAAGGGGGGGGTACCTTGACAGCTCCCCTGGGATCCCGATGGGGGGCGCCGCGAGTTGTCAAAGGGCACCTGTTGTCCCAAGATGGCTTCAAGAGGGCTGCAGACAGCCCGAGCTGGCCTCCAAGATGGCTCCATGTAACCCGGGATGACCCAAGGCAACCTCCACCATGCCCGCAAGAGGCTTCAAGGCAGCCCCAAGATGGTTCCAAGTGGCCGCTGACCATCTCAAGGAAAAGCCCCCGAGAGACCACAATCGTTGTAATCCAACCAATCCTCTGAGCTGGAGCGGTCTGATGGACTCGTTCTGCTAACCCCCGTCTTCCCCTTCGGCGAGTGCGTCCCACCTCCCCCACACACACCCTGGGTCTGGAGGGGAAGGGGGGGGAGGGGGGGGAGGTCGCGAGTTGTCGGACGGTACCTTGTTGGCTCAAGAGGACCCCAAGAGGGCCCCAAAGAGAACTGAAGATGGTCTTCGAGATCGCTCGAGATAGTCCAAGGTGGGTCAGTCTAGCTTCCACCATGCCTCCAAAAGCCTTCAAGACCGACCCGGAGCGGCTTCAAATGCCCTCGAAACCTCCCACAAAGGCCCTCAAGAAGCAACAATCCGTAAACCGACATGGTGTGTTCCATCCGTGTTGCTTTCTCGTCTGCTCTCTTCCGACGGGCTCTTGAGGCTTCAGTGGCTTCAAGATGACCCAAGAGGGCCCCACGAGGGGTCCAAAAGGCCCCAACACGGCCCCAAGAGCGCCCAAGACCGTCCCTACAGTCGGGGCGCTGACCTAAGGAACCCTAAATAAGGAACGAGGCCCCTTTTCTCCAGAAGTTGAACTTCGATTTCCCTTCGAAGACCTAAGGAAAACGTGAGGCAAACTGTGAAACAATTAAGGAACACGGAGCCCCTACCCAACGAAAAGAGTTCCTTCTTCAGCGCCCCGACTGTAAGAGTTCCCCAAGATCGCTGCAAGAGGCTCGTTTTCCGGCCACGACGGGGGGACGCTACTTGAGTACCTCCTTTTTTTGTTTACCGATGGCGTCCAAAATGGCCCCAAGAGAGGCCCCCCAAGGCTACCAAGAGGCCCCCAAGAGTGCCCCAGGAAGGGCCCAGGCTATCCCCCAAAAGCGTTCCAAGAACGCAACAAAAAGGCTCCCCAAATGGCTCCAACAGCGCTCTGAGATGACCCCGAGAAACATCATAGAAAGATCCAGAACCAACGACCCGCAAAGGCTTCGATGGTTGATTCCTGTCGTCGTCGTCGTCTTCTTCATCGTCGTCGTCGTGCGTTTGTTGTTGTTGGATGGGCTGGTGGGGATACGCGAAGCGTCAATAACACAAACGCGACAGCACACAATTTTTTGCATTCTCGGTTCAGGGCTGTAGGTTGATCTGGGTGGGGGGGACGTGGGGCCCTTAGGATGGGGCGACAGAGAAATCCGCCGATCCGGCGTGTGAGTTTCTGAGAGCGTGGGCTTGAGCTCGCTCAAGCTTCGCTCTGGGGGGGGGGGTCGGGATCCGGCGAAGTATCCACGCAATTCAGTGAACGCTCCAGCGCGGGGGGGGGTCCAAAGATCGAGGGGGGGGGGGAGCTCGAGCGAGGACGGGGGGGGTCGAGCTCAAGCGGGGGGGGGGGTCGAAGGAGGAAGCTCGAGCGGGGACGGAGGGGGGGGTCGAGCTCAAGCGGAGGGGGGGGTCAGCGCGGGGGGGGGGGTCCAACAGCGCAGGGGGGGGTCCAAGAATCGAGGGGGGGGGAGCCGAGCGAGGACGGGGAGGGGGCGAGCTCAAGCGGGGGGGGGGGTCGAAGGAGGAAGCTCGAGCGGGGACGGAGGGGGGGGTCGAGCTCAATGGGGGGGGGTCAGCGCGGGGGGGGGGTCCAAGAATCGAGGGGGGGGGGGAGCTAGAGCGAGGACGGGGGGGGTGATCGAACGGAGGGGGGGTCGAGCTCAAGCGGGGGGGGTGGGGGCAGCGCGGGGGGGGCGGGGTCGAACGGAGGGGGGGTCGAGCTCAAGCGGGGGGAGGTCAGCGCCGGGGGGGGGTCCAAGAATCGAGGGTGGGGGGGGAGCTCGAGCGAGGACGGGGGGGGGGGTCGAGCTCAAGCGGGGGGGGGCTCCAAGGAGGAAGCTCGAGCGGGGACGGAGGGGGGGGTCGAGCTCAAGCGGGTGCGGGGGGGTCCAAGAAACCGTGGAGGGCAGGGGGGGAGGAGGGACGTCGTCGTCATCATCGTCCGTCGTTGACCCCGTCGTCGGTCGTCGTCGTCGTCATCGTCCGTTCCCACACGCATCGGGAGCGCCCCGGATCGGCGGCACTGGCCGGAGGCCATTACAATACCGATACCGCAACCCCTCTGACCTCTCCCGGGGCGCGTACTGACCAGGATTCCCAGGCGAATCCAGCGGTGGCGACGGGGGCCTCCCGGGAGGCACCAGCAGCGGAGAGCGAGGGAGAGGCGGCGCGCTGTGGGTGCCTTTTCCTCCTCCGACCTGTGATGGGGGGGGGGGGGAAGGAGGGGAACAGGCTTCTGGCCAGGGCCCGACTTTTTGCTTGCCCTCGCCCTGGACCCGGTTGGCCCCTGGCCATCGCTCGGACGTCCATTCCCTGTGTTTTTTTCGGTTTCGTGCGTGGCTTTTTCGCCAAATGATCAAGGATGCTCCTCGATTGTCCTCGCCGAAGGAAAAATGCACACGTCCGAGCGATGCCAAGAAACGGGCTTCTGGCCAGGGTCCGACTTTTTGCTCGCCCTCGCCCTGGACCTCGTCGGCCCCTGGCGCGGGCCGCGCCCGCGGCACGCCCGGCAGCACCGCTCAACCCCGAGGCCGGCAGGGCTATGGGAGGCTCCGAGCGCCACGCCGGCGCGGCGGCGGTGCGCCCGCCGCGGCTGCGCCGGAGGGGCAGGCGCACACGGGGGCCACGAGGCCAGGACCGAGCCTCCCCGTCGCTCGGTCCGAGCGACGGGGAATGGACGTCCTCGGACGTGTGTAATATTTTTCTCTCGGCGGGGATCATGAAGGAGCAGCCTGCATCCTCCTGCGGAAAAAAAACACGCACGGAACCGAAACAAGCACAGGGAATGGACGTTGTTTTCGCAGGATGATGCAGGCTGCTCCTTCATGATCCCCGCCGAGAAAAAATGAAACTGCACACGTCCGAGCGGTACCAAGGCTGAGCACGGAGAAGCCGTGTCGATCTTGGCCACCGTCGGCCTTGGCCAGCGCCGGCTCGTCGAGTCGGTCCTCGCGAGTCGGCGACGGCCGACGTGGACCATGGCCAAGAGTTGAAGGTCGCTGAGGGGGCAGCGTTGTTTCCAGGGCCAGATCCCCGTACGCTCGGCGGGCGCGCTTGATCGGTCAACAGCAATCCTTACCGTCGCCCTTCGCGAGAAGCTCTGATTTCAGGTTTGCTCTTGCCCACGATCGGGCTGCTCGTGCTTGCTCTTGCCCCACAAGAGCATTGCCCTCTCCCCCGTGGCCCCAGAAACACAGATCGCGCTCGCTGCCCCTCAGCGAGCTTCACGCCAAGATCGACATCGACAAAAAGGCGCCACATCTCGGTCATGGTCCCCGTGCTTCCTACCCGGATGTGCGTCGGCGACGCAAGGACCGCTGCCCTTCACACCGCGGGGGCCCGAGCGGAGACGCGATCCGCCACCGCGCCGCGAGGCGCCGAGCGGAGCGCCCGCCCGCAGGTCCCCTCGGGTTCTCTGCTCTGAGGAATGTGAATCTCGCCATCGCTCGGACGTCCATTCCTCGTGTATGTTTCGATTTCGCGCGTGCTTTTTTTCGCTACGTCATCCAGGATGCTCCTCCATGGTCGTCGCCGAGGAAAGAATGCACACGTCCGAGCGATGCCGAGGAATGCTCCTCAGATGCCTTGCACTCCCTCAGTGCCCGTCCGCAAGTCCCCTCGAGTTCTCTGTTCTGATGAAGGGGCCCAGGGACACACAAATACATACACACAAATCAAAGGAGTCCCCATATTTTCCTGCATTTTCTGGGGTTTCGTCTTCTCCCCCGCTTCCCATACTTTCCCATATTTTCTGGGGAACCGACGATTACTTGTGTCTGTGTGTGTGTTTCCCCTCCTGATCTGAGGAATGTGAATGCTCCTCAGCTGCCCCGCGCTCCGGGCTCCCAGAATCGTGGAGCGCTCTTCGAGCCCGTCGCGCTACTTGTCCCGAGGCCTCGGGAGCGTGGCTGGGTGTCCACACCTCCCTCGTGCCTCAGAATGGCCCCCAAAAGGTCCTGGGACTCTCTCGGGGGCAACTAAGGGTCGTCTTGGAAGTCCTGGGGGGCCGGCCCACGATAGCATGTTTTGGTTTAACCCTGCATTGTTCTGCATGTTGCCTGGGCGCCTTTCCTGCTTGAAGAGCACCCACGACGGCCTAAGAGGCCCATAAAAGAATCCAGACAGGGCCTCCGATGCCCCGAATGGTGTCCAGTATACCCCCAAAAGGGGGAGCTCTAAGGTGCCTGTGGGACCCTTCACCTCAATCAACACGGCCCCAGAGACCATCCCCAGGCACCCAACTTGGGTGCCTTGGGGCCTCTTGAAGAGGCCCCAAGAGGGTCCCAAATGTCTCGACGAGGCCCCCAGGAGGCCTCCAACCGGCCCCCAAGAGAACTCGAAGATCCATTCCTAGAGGCCCTCCAGGAGGCCTCAAAGACTCCTCCTGCCCACGACCGAGGCACGGTGGCGGGATAGGCCGAAGGCAACTAGATAGGCGAGCACAACAGCGGAAGTAATACAAGCAGTAATGGCCCCTCCGCAGACAGCGGATCTGGCAAGGTCAATCAAATTCTCCAAGGTGCACACGTCCTCCAGCTTCTTCGTATCAGGTATGTACCGCTGTACATGCCTTCCGAGCTTGCCACTAGAAATCGACACATCAGCGCCGTCAGAGACGGCACGAGGAACGACCACTCCTACCGCACCCCCAACAAAGCCGCCAAAAACAGCCCCCCCCGCACCCCCGACGGAGCCGCCAGCGATGCGACCCACTGCAGGAGAGGCCCATGCGGCAGCCGCCCCACACGCGCCCCCGACGGCGACGTCCTTGACCATCTTCGTCACAGACCGGTTCTCACCGCACCTGCGGGGTCCAGACGTACAAAAACCCGAACACCCGTCTCCCCCCCCTTCCCGCGTCCTCGGCCCCTGGGGAGGGGGCAGGGGCGGGCCGCGAGGCACTGGCGCCGTGCCTGCGTTCTGGCCCCGGAGCACCATAGAGTCTTCCCCAGCGAGACGGCGCTGCTCACGCACGCGACTCCCGCAATCGGAGCCGACCAGACAAAAGCGACTACCCCGGCCCCAGTCGATAACCCCGTGAAAATCCAGCCGCCACATCTTTTCAGATCCACGTTCGCCTCCTTGCTACGACATAGTATCGCAATATCGTCTCCAGAAGCCGCGGCTGCGTCGCAAGACGAATAGAACTGGCTTGGCCGTAAAGGTGCAGGGGACTTGTTCGCTGATAGCCATGGGCCAAAGGCAAACGCCATAGGCGAGTGGAGCTCAGAGACAGAGGGAATTCTTTGCTGAGATGAGGAGCTGGATCGTGTCAGGCGATCAGACTCTGCCCTCGCCCAATCATCATGTTGAGCCAAACCGGCTACAGTGTCTGTCTCTGTCTCTATGTATGTCTGCTGCTCGGCTAGCCTGCCTGTCAACTTGGATGCTTCTTCTGTCTGCCTGTCCCTCTCTGTCTGTCCGTCTCTCTGTCAGTCGGTCTATGTCTCCATGTCAGTGCTTGTACCCTGGGGGGTGAAGATCGGTCAACCTTGGGGCTTTTCCGTGTGGTAGCCAACCATTCGGATTCGCGCTCAAGTGCCCCTCAGAGATCCCAAGGACCCCAGAAAAGACCAAGAGGGTTCCCGGTCACAAAGATGTCCAAGGAACGCCCCAAGAATGCGTACGGCGAATTCGCGTCGTCACGTCGGGTTTGGTTTCTGCATCTTCGTGGATCGTCCAACCTTGAACGATCGCGGCTGTCCGATATCGCAGATCGTTCGATACCAGACTGGAAGATTCCAGGCCACTGGCGGCGGTCAACCTTGAACAGCCTCTGCGCTTGGGTCGCCGCCGCGCCGTCACGACACAAACATGCCGCAGGGGTGCCCCCAAAGCGACCTCGACGTGTTCGGGAACACGCTCGTCGAGGCCATGCCCCTGCCAAGTTACAGTCAGTCAGTGGAGCCGCGCCGCACGGCGCATCGGCTAAACAGCACGGGATTGAATTCAGCAGTTCTGATACGTAAGCTCTCAGAAGACGTATGGCATGGCATGGGCGGCATGGATGTCTGCGTGCCAGCTGCGGTAACCGGGGCGGTCCCCTAGAGGGCAGACCGTGCGTTGAGCAAGTCGTAAGATGAATGAGGCAACACGCGTGCATCGGCTCACGTGTGCTCACTTCTCGCGTTGTCGACAAAGAGTCCGCATGGAGGAGCATCGGGGGCCAGCGCGAGGCTCGTGCCCTCCCTGCCTCTTCGGCTCCCCCACTTCTCTGGTGCTCATCCCTCCTCCTCATCCCTCCTCCTCCTCCTCCTCCTCCTCCTCTTCCTCCTCCTCCTCCTCCTCCGCCTCCTCCTCCTCCTCCTCCTCCTCTCCCCCATTTCACCTTCTTCTCCACATGAGACTTGTTCCTTGGAAGCGGTAGGTCCCCCCGTCACTTTGGTTTGGTGTTGAGGCCAGGAGAACAAACAAAAGAAGGATACACAAAACAACAAGGAGGCCAAGGGTGAACGGAGAAACACCTGTTTCGGCGCGGGCATTCTGGCCCGCTAGCCCTCGGGGACGCGCAGTGGCCATGGGCCCGCTGCGCCATCTCGGTGATGGAGCGTCTCGCTTCGAGAAACAGTACCCGCACCTGTCCGAATGTATCAGTAGTGCCTCCTCCGCCTGGGTCCCGTTCACAGACGGGCACTTATGCGACGCATGATTGTCCCATGATGCGATAGTCTCCGGATAACAGAATTGCTGCTTTGTTTCCTCCTCCTCCTCCTCCTCCTCCTCCTCCTCCTCCTCCTCCTCCTCCTCCCCCTCCCCCTCCTCCTCCTCCCCCTCCTGGTAGCCTTCGGCTTTGCAGTACTTGCGGCACCTGAGTGGCCAGGGCACCGTCATCACCAGCCCTCTGCGGGGATCCACGACGTGGCGCGAGGCGAGCCTCCAGATCAGCCCGCCCGCTGGGCCGAGGGGTGTGCGATGGCTTGACGTCGAGAGCTTCTCTCGGTGCTCTAGCCCCGTGTATCCCTCCTCAACAGACTTTGCTACTCCAGATTTCGTAATAAAGGGAGGGGGGTCTCATTTCGGGGGGGGTCTCTTCCAGGCTATCTTGGAGGGCCTGGGGGGTCTGGGGACGATGTTTTGGAGGGTTCTCCCACGGGGGAGGTCTGAAATGGCTTGTCTTGGAGGGTCCAGACCCCCTCCCTTTTATTACGAAATCTGGAGTATCCCGTCGCCCGCTGCGGCCCACCCCTTCGCGGGTGCTTGCTGATAATCGTCTGGTTGCGGTCGCCCCTGCCTTTCTTGTGGCCACTTTTGGTGCTCGTCCATGGCCCTTTTCGATATCCACTTTTGCAATCTGCGTGGAGCATGGTCTTGGGCCGCTGTCTGGGCGATTATGAACCCAACTTGAAACCCGAAACAGGGCCCAAACAAGCCCTGACCCAAGCTCACTTTCAGATGCGTTCGGGCCGGCGCTTGGGCCGTCAAGATGCCCTCCTAGGCCCTAGGCCGTTGCTTGCCCGCCTCGGCTTCGCATAATTCCGTTACGCATTTCGGCTTGTCCTGGCGGCTCTTGGGCCGTCTAGAGGCAATTTCGCTCCTTATCCATTATCCTAACTATTTCTGGCCCTGGCCAATCTTGGCGAAGCCCCGCTTCGGGCCGAAGCGTGGACACCCGCTGGCAGACTGTGGGGTTGGTGAACCACCCATCCCAATCCGTAAACCTAAGATCCGCCTGCCACGTCTGAAGCATAGGCATGGGGGGCAGTAGCTGACCAACGATTCATCATCAACCTCCCGACTCACCCCACCTTTCTCCTGAGATCCGACGGCCGTTCATCGGAGGCTGGGAAGGTGAGACCAACGTGAAACGGAGGCCCGCAGCCAAGACATCGGTTTCGGTTCGTGTCGTGCGTGCGAAGCAGGCGAAGCTACGCGAGTTCATGTAGTGGTTAGGGCCAAGTCAATCCAAAATATGAGTCGCTGGCTCCGGTCCGTCTGGGAGGGCGCGGGGTTGCCCTGCGGATGTCCCGCGGTTGTTCCGATGATTGCCAGGCCGTGCGTAAGGTTGTCCCGTTGTCATGTGGCTGTTGCGTGGTCACGTAATTAGATCAGAGTGAGGGGGCCGAACGGTCATTCACTGTCACTGGGCGCGTGGCTGAAGTAAGGTTATGCGGTGCGGAGTGTTGTGGTTGTTGTTGTTGTTGTTGTTGTTGTTGTTGTTGTTGTTGTTGTTGTTATTGTTGTTGTTGTTGTTGTTGTTGTTGTTGTTTTTGTTTTTTGTTGTTGTTGTTGTTAGTGTTAGTGTTAGTGTTAGTGTTAGTGCTAGTGCTGTTGTTGCTGTTGCTGTTGCTGTTGTTGCTGTTGTTGTTGCTGTTAATGTTAATGTTGTTGTTGTTCATGTTGTTGTTTAATGGTGTGTTGTGCTTGTTGTGTGTTGTCCTCGTCCCCACCCGCGACCCGACCCGCGACCCACCCACGACCCACCCGCGACCCACCCGCGACCCACCCGGGACCCACCGGCGACCCATCCGCGACTCACCCGCGACCCCCCCCACTCCCCCGCGACCACACCCGCGACCCACCCGCGACCCCACCCGCGACACCGCCCGCGACCCCACCCGCGACCCGCCCGGGACCCACCCGCGAACCACTCGCGACCTGGCTCGCGACCTGGCTCGCGACCCACCCGCGATCCAACTGCGACCCATCCCGCGACCCACCAACATTGCTTTAACGAACAAGTTATCGCCTGCGGCTATAATTAATATGAAAATTTGGCGCCTGCGGCGGGCTTTCTTTCAGAGCCTCGCAGACTGCCGACGTCCCCGCAGCCCCCTCACTCTTACCCGCAACTGCGGGGTGCTACGCACCCCCCGTGGTTGCCCCGCGGTCGTCCCGCGGTTGTCCCGCGGTTGTCCTCTGGGTGTCCCATGGTCGTCCCGCGGTTGTCCCGTGGTCGTCCCACGGTTATCCCGCGGTTGTTCCTCGGGTGCCCCGTGGTCGTCCCGCGGTTGTCCCACGGCTGTCCCTTGGGTGTCCCGGAGTCGTCCCCTGGTTGCCCCTTGCTTGCCCCGCCAGTCGATTGATAGGGAAGTAGATAGTGAGACAAGAAGATAAACAGTGATACCGATAGATATATTGGTCGTGATACCGATGGATGGAAAATGAGATCGATGGGTAGAAGGACGGGTAAGTAGGTCCATAATGAGATCCATAAAGAAATTATGAAACCGATCAATCGTGAGATCGGCCCATGTATGAAACATTCGTTAGAAACGTATATTGGTGATGAGCATGACAAGTACTGAAATATGTTATCCGCGGTTGCCCCGCGGTGTTCCCGTGGTTGTCCCGTGGTTCTCTCGCGGCTGTCCCGTGATTGTCCCGCGGTTGTCCCGTGGTTGTCCGTGGTTGACCCGCAGATGTCCCGCGGTTGTCCCCCGGTTTCCCCGTGGCTGTCCTGTGGATGTCCCCGTGGTTGTCCGTGGTTGACCCGCGGATGCCTGGTGGCTGCCCCCTGGTCTTCCCTGGGTTGTCCCTTGCTTGTCGCGTGGTTGCCCCGTGGTGGTCCCGTGGATATCCCGTGGATGTCCCGCGGTTGTCCCGCGGTTGTCCCCGCGGTTGTCCGTGGTTGTCCCGCGGACGTCTGGTGGACGCTCCCTGGTTCTCCCGTGGTTGTCCCATGGCTTTTGGCGTAACTGCAGCGTGGTGGTCCCGCGGATGTCCTGTGGCTATCCCGCGGCTGTCCCGTGGTGTTTGGTGGCTGCCCGTGACTGCCCCGTGGATGTCCCGGGGCCCCCTCGCCGATCCTGACCAGGCCCGTCTTGGGCCAAGGAGCCTTAGCCAGGCAGGCGCAGACACCGATCCTGGGCCCAGGATGGCGGCCGCGCCGCCGCAGCGCCCGGGCGTCGCGAAGCTGTGGCGGTGTTCCCAAAACATGGGCCTGCACGGAGGAGATCCCACTGGCTCGCTCACTGGGGTCCTGCGTCTTCGCCCGCTGGAATACCTGGCACTGGGGTCCGCGTCTTTGGCCTGCTGGAGTACTCGGCACTGCTGGGATACTGGGGTCCGGGGCCCGCGCGTTTGCGCTGAGGAGATCCCACTGGCCCGCTTGCTGGAATGCCTGGCGCTAGGGTCCGCGTCTTCGCCTGCTGGCCGCCTCGCGCGCTGGCATGGGGCTTCGGGTTCTTGCCCGGTGGCCACCCGTGACCGCCTCGTCCGCTGGGGGGGGCTCCCTGGGTGCTCGCTCGGTGACCGCCCGTGGTACTGCCCGTGAGCGCCCCGTGGCCGCCGCGCGGCTCGCGCCGCGTGGCTTGCGCCACAGAGCTCGTACCACACCACTTGCAAAACACTGTTTTACCAACGCGAGAGGAGCCCAGTGGCAAGGAAGGGATGAGGGCCCAGGGGCGCGGAGGAAGCGGGGGAGGGGGGAGAAAAATGGCGGGGACGCGCGCGCGACGCGCGGGTGCCCAGCCGCCCGCCGGGGCCCGCGCAGCCCGCGGCAGACGGGGGCGAGACACAGGCGGCACCACACAGCTTGGCCAACACAGGTTGCATCGCATGCCCTGCACCACACAGCTCACACGCTGAGAGTGCAGGGCCGCGCTCTTCGGGATCCACGGTGGCAAACAATGCTGGCTTAAGCCAAGTATCTATCCCGTTGGCTGCAGGACATCGTGCGAACGAGGTCTCAGGCGTGTCTCCGTGCCAAGCGCTGCTGAGGGACGATGCGGTCGGGCCAACTCCAGTTCGCTCATCCCCTCGAGGATGGCCAGAGAGGGTGATGCTGCGAATGGTTGCGCCCTTCTGCCGTGATTATGATCCCCGCCAGAACTCGCCAGGAGGAAAGCTCAGGGGCATGAAGACTTCCTCACGCACACGAAGAAGCAGTGAAGAGCCAGCAGAACGGAGGAGTACAGGCCGTCCAGAACAGAGGTCGCGCCTCCATACGCTGAGGCTTTTGGGTCTCTGGGCCTTCCTGGAGGCCGATCTGGGAATCAATCCCACCGTCCTGAAGCGGAGGGTACCCCATTGTGCTCCATGGTTGGTGCCCTATGGCTGGTGCCTTTTTGCGCCCTATGGGTGGTGCCCCAGGGTGCCCTGTGGTCCGCACCTTATGGCTGGCGCGCTCTGCTCTGTTCCTCATGCGGGTGCCCCACAGCTCGTGCGTTGTGGTTGGTACCCTGTGGTGCCCACGGAGGTGCCCCATGGCTGGTGCCTTGTGTCTCCCTATGGCTAGTGCCCTACAGCGTGCCAAATGCTATGGACGTGTCCACTTGAAGTGCCACAACAATATGTCTGGACGGTCCAAGTTTTGCTTCTCGATGCCACCTTTGACAGTGCCCCACGCGCTCCGTGGAGGTGCTCGAATCGAATTTCCCGACGGTCCAACATATGATCTTCTGCGTCCTCCATAGAGGTGCCCAAGACATGAACACTCTGGAACCACGCAATGAAGGTGCTGGAATCAAAGTTCTGGACGGCTCTAGCATTCTGTCGGGCCCCAAAATGGAGGTGACTTATGAAGGTGCCCTGTGGGCGTGCCAGAACCGCATGCCTGAACGGTCCAACAATTACCTTCATCGCGCACCCTTGTGCAAGTGTTCCATGGAGATGCTCCATGGGGGTGACCCGTGGAGGTGCCCTACGAAGGCGCCCTGTGGGGGGGCCATACGTACGGAGGTGCCTTGTGGAGGCGTTCTGTGGAGGTGCCCCATGGGCGCGCCTCGTGGGGGAGCGGAATGCCGAGCAAGCCTCAGGCGGGAGGGGACACCTCCGCCTGATGTGCCGCCGGATGGACAGAATCGTTTTGGGGGCCCTGCTGGCGTTCAAAACCCGCTGAAGCGAAACATTAGTGAGATCCCCAATCACCATTTTGAGAAATATCTGGACTTGCACGTGGGCTGTTTCGAGCTTGCATGGAAGCCCAGGACATATCACGAATCAAGAGTTTCTAATCCCTGGGCCAAAGAACAGCCCCCTGGTATGGCAATATGCGTTGTGATGTCATCTCGACACCTGGTGCTCTGGGGAGGGCGGCCCCGTCCGCCCCGCGCGCTTGCGTTGCGAGGGCGAGGGGGGATGAGGATGGAGGAGGAGGAGGAGCAGGAGGAGGAGGAGGAGGAGGAGGAGGAGGAGGAGGAGGAGGAGAGTGGAGGAGAGTGGAGGAGGAGGAGGAGGAAGGAGGAGGAGGAGAAGAGGAGGAGGAGGAGACCAGGAGGACGGGGGAAGGCGGTGGGGGAGGCGGAGGACGCAGGAGGGAGGTGGAGGGGAGGGGAGCAAGGAGGACGGATGAGGAGGAGGGCGGCCAGAGCCTGGCGGTACTGCCGGTCCCGCTCCGCGAGCTTCACCATGGCAGCGATGCGGCGCTCCTCCTGGAAGCGCAGCAGCTCCTGCGGGCAGGGCTGCTGCGAAGATGGGAGCCACGCCGCGGCCTCCTCCCCCCCAGCTCCTCCCCCCGACGCCCTTCCTGCTCCACCCCGCCCCGCGAAGGCCCAGGAGGAGCAGGAGAAGGAGGAGGAGGAGGAGGAGGAGGAGGAGGAGGAGGAGGAGGAGGAGGAGGAGGAGGAGGAGGAGGAGGAGGAGGAGGAGTCCAGACCAGTGCCGTCCACTCCACGCTACGGTGCGTGGTCTGCAGCAGGCGTGCCGTGGCTGCGGAGCGCTGGTGCCGCGTCAGTGCAATTCGCAGGCCGTCTCCCACCTGCGATCTTCACGAGGATCCCTGTGCGCAAGGCTCCGAAGCTTGTCTGAAGATGACGCGCTCCGCCGTCCAGGAGACGGCCTGAGCCTATCGGAGGCGGTGGTGGGGGGGGGAGGAGGAGGAGGAGGAGGAGGAGGAGGAGAAGGAGGAGGAGGAGGAGGAGGAGGAGGAGGAGGAGGAGAAGGAGGCGGCGGAGGCGAGCGGGGTCTGGTCCCCCGAGGGCCCGTCGCCCCGCCAGCTCCCGGAAGCCAAGTCGCCCGCCGGCCCTTCAGGCCGGTCGCCCGCCGGTGTCTCGGGCTGGCCGGCCTGCGCCAGCTCCCTGGGCCCGTCGCCCGAGGCCCAGGCCCCCCCTCGACTTATGAAAAAATCACGACGGGAGGTTCTTCCTTACTTTTGGGCCTCTGGGGGCCCTTATACCGGCCCTCGGGACCGTCAAACAACGACTCAGGACGAAAAACCGGTCCCGGGGAATGGGTCGAGGCCTCGGGGGGTCGACGTCATGAAAAAATCATGACGTCGGGGGTCTGGAGGCGGCGAGGTGCGGAGGCGAGCGGAGGAGGCCGGAGAGCGGCAGAGCGGAGGAGGCGCCAGGGCGCTCCAGCAGCACGAGCTGGGAGGGCTCCGGGCACGCGCCACGGGAGGGCCCTGCGCGGAGGGGGCGGGCTCCCGCAGGGCGGGGGGCTCGCTTCTCCTCCTGCTGCTGCTCGTCCTGCTCCTCCTCCTCCTCCTCCTCCTCCTCCTCCTCCTCCTCCTCCTCCTCCTACCCCTATTCTCCCTCCTCCTCCTCCTCCTCCTCCTCCTCCTCCTCCTCCTCCTCCTCCTCTATCTCCTCCTCCTCCTCCTCCTCCTCCTCCTCCTCCTCCTCCTCCTATTCTCCCTCCTCCTCCTCCTCCTCCTCCTCCTCCTCCTCCTCCTGACGCTCCCCTCGTGACCAGGGCCGTGAGGGGGCCCGGGCCTTGGAAAGCTGGTCGAGCGTCTGCGAGATCACGCTGCCCTGTGCGGACTCCAGCGCCCCCTCGAATGCCTTTTCGTACAGCTGGCCGATGTACCTCTGCACGGACGAGGACGAGGACGACCACAAGGACGAAGCACGAGGAGTTCTGGTGAGGAAGATGAGGAGGAGGAGGAGGAGGAGGAGGAGGAGGAGGAAGAGGACTAGAGGAGGAGAAGGAGGAGGAGGAGGAGGAGGAGGAGGCCCGACGTCGAGGACGAGGGTGATTGCGAGGACGAGACGACGACGACGCCGACGCCGACGCTGACGTCGAAGACGACGAGGACGACGAGGACGACGAGGACGACGACGGCGAGGACGACGAGGACGACGACGGCGTGGCCGAAGGTGGGGTAATTACGGGGCACGCGCGAACGAGCCACGCCCCGTGTCTGTTGCTCTAGATGAGAAGGATGGCCAGGTCGGACGATCGGACGGCGATGCCGATCAGCAACATCGACGGCCTCTGTGCGCTCTGGCGGTGTCCATCTGCAGCCCCCCAGTGGATAACGGCTGTGCCCTCGCCGATGAGGATGTAATCGCCCTCCCCCCTCCCCCCCCTTCCCCCCCCCCTTCCCCACACGCACACGCAATACACGCACGCACGCACGCACGCACGCACGCACGCACGCACGCACGCACGCACGCACGCACGCACGCACGCACGCACGACGCACGCACGCACGCACGCACAC